ACTATTAGACAAAACAATCTTGTAATTATTTATGGTTATAATAATAATAATTATTGCAGTAAGCAATACATTGTCTTGAAGATATACATGTGAAAAAATCAATGAGTTGTGAGAAAACATACTTGTCATAACAACTTTGGATTGCGATATTTGTAAAATATTAAGTTTAAATATAAAGACAGAACTATTATATTTTCAAGTTTTTTTCATAATACCTCATTTAAAAATTATTCCTTACTGATGCTAATAATAGAAACTGGCCCAGGAAGGTGGGAAAAACGTCATGATTAGTGAAACGAGTGAGGAATTCCCAGTATAGGTTAAGCAATTATCTAAAATTAAATATATACATGTCCTTTATTGAGACAGATTGTAATATTTATCAATAAACAAATAATCCATTCTAGTTAAAAAAAAAATATATATATATATTTTAAATATATTTATTGGAGTTTACAACTGTATTATATGACAAATACAACAAGTAAATCTGAAAACAGCATTATGACACGTACAACATGAAGAGAAACTACCTATTGATAACACTCCAATTATAGTTCTATATTAGAAAGTCCCGAGGACAAAAATTAATTATAAATTTAAAAACAGGATGGCAACTGAAGAAAAATGTGATCAATTTTACCGGACTTAAAGTTAAATCTCTCCTTAGCCAAAAATATTTTATCGCTCCCTTCATTTCATCGAGACAATTTTCGTTAAAAAACGCACATACACGCATGCACGCGAACACATACACACATAAAGGAAAAAAAAACAACAATCCGTACTGCTGCCAAAGACATCTACGTTTCTGTCCATGAGTATATTACTAGAACTAGACGATTGTAGTTGTGTACAAGTTTTAATTTATGTTTGTTTAATAAAATTATAAAACTCATTAATTTTTTAGTAATAATAGAGTGACCCATAATATTAAAAAAATCGTATGTATAATTTAGCCTCTAGTTTCTTGTTACTTAATTTAGTTTTAACAACTTACCACTTAGAATATATTCTAATTGTTCGTGGTTTTGATATTTATAAATTATTTTCTAAAAATTAACAATAAACTTTATTTTTTCATTTCAGGGCATGAGACCGAGAACAATATTAATACAGTCTCGTTAAGTCGCCAAAATATGGTTTTATATATGATGGGACTGAACTTCAAAGAACCTTAAAAAACAAACGCATATATATTAAAGGAAATGTAGTATCCAAAAGCCTATTATAAATGTTTATTTAATCTAACAATAATTTTATTGATCAAATATTTAAGAGATTTTCCTCTTTCAAAACCTTTATTGTACAGACTAATTGTACTATATCTGTATTTATGAATTGGTTTATTATTATCATAATTAGCTTATGTATTTTAGTTAATTTATTTCTATTATTATAGTATTGTATTTCTATTTATTATATTTATTTAGACCTCATCAAATATCAATTATTGTTTTCTACTTGTTCTTATTGTATGCACAACTGAATATTTTAAATTGATTTAAAAAAAAAAAAATATGAACTTTTTTTGGTCAGATAAAATTTTTATTATAATGCAATAAATTTTCAGGCGATTGTAAAATTTTTGAAGAGCATTTTTAATGGAGCTACAGCTCGAAGCTTACAGCTAACAATTCATTAACACCATTGAAATGACAAAAATCCTATTAATTATATCAACGGTAGGCAATAAAAACCTCATTACTCCATCTCTCATATAAACCACACAACTCCTGTCTCTGAGCTATGCATATATGTCAATAGATATTTGAAAATTGAAAGTATATCTGTATATTACTTCAACCTATAGATGATTGTGGACTATACGACTATAGATAAGGTTGCCTGCCATAGATAGGTCATATGTTGTCACACTAATGTTAAGTGGATAATGTTTTGATTTCACGGAGGGAAACTAATTTAATATTCTAAAAAACTAAATGCCGATTTTCGGAATAAACACACGTTGATACCTAATTATTTAAATATAATACCAGATCTAGAATTACTAACCTATAGTAAATATATTTAACCTTATAAATATATCCATGATATATTTTTATATTTCAATTCTTCTTTCAAACAAGTACAATGAAATAGTATTTTAAGCAATGCCATTGCCTAGATTCGGTGGATTTTAAATACGTTTTATCAAACTTGTAAATTTTTAGAACTTTACATTTATTAAGAAAATATTACTTAATTTCCTTGGAAACATGTGATTTACGTAGAATAATGTTAGTTTTCAGAAATTATTATTTATATTTTATTTCTTACCTTCTACAACTTTATTAATTAGATATTATTTTTTTCTAAAATTCTCAGCTTTCCAACGATATATTATACGTACACCTTCTGACTATTATTTCCGGAGATTCATTTTCGAGCAGGATAAGCATTTTTAATTGTTTCTCCTTTATTCAATTATCAAAATTTTTCAAAAGTTATATTTGGTTTTTTATCATAATTGCTAACGACTAAAGACAATTATTTTTTTTTGATTAAATAAACCAAATTAATAGCACTTTAGAGGAAGGCGTATATGAACATTGAGCATTGAACCCCTGTAAAGTGATATCAATGTGGGAAAGACCTGGACGATACTAAAAAACATAAAAAACTTAATAATACACTGATATACTGAGTTTGATAAAAATCGTGAGGGCCGTTTTCGAGAAAATCGTAAAAAATGTAACATCAAATAAATAAAGTGGCACTTCCGGTTAGCCAATTTTGACGAAAAAGTTGCTGTAACAACAGAGGTATATACAGACTTTAAATATGCAAATTCACTTTCATATGACTTTTAGTTTTTGAGCTAGGCCACACACAGAGATCATTTTGTGGGACTTTTAGATTTGGACTCAGGAGACCTAAAAATATGTATATCTGTTAAAAACTCAGATTCGAAAATTTTCACAATCGCAATACTGCCCCTTGCTACGTATTTCGTATATAGGTAAGTGAAAGTAATAATAGCTGAAATAAGTCTATCGCTAAAATATTAAAATGTAATGAAATTATTATTATATTTTTAATAATAATTATTAACAAACCATTTGACTTTTAAAAATTAAAGCAATGATTTTTTGAGTATGATTATAACCGAAGGTTACATCAGTACTGACAAGAGGAAATATGTTCATAATTTTAGTTGACATTAATTAAAAGCCTATCAATATTTTTTTAATTTTATTATTTTTGTCAATATATTTTCAAAATATGTATAAAAATATTATAATTAAATTCCTTAATAAATAATGTAAAATCTGTCAAGATGGTGCAAAGTCCCTTTGAGCATGAAATGATTTATTTAACCATACAAGCCGCACTACCAGGATATGGCAATTATCCAGCAGAGAATATGGGAGCACAAGTTAATTTAACTCTAATCTTGTCAATTCGGCAATAATGTTGTATCAGTACGGGGCATGTTGGCGAACTGATGTGTTTAGCTTGTAACAACGGTCGAACGCCTCTATTCATGCAGCCTACGCGACAAGGATCACGGGCAAACTTTAATATCATACCACCCTTTATCCTGCCTCGGCATCCTAAACTCTATTGTCTCAGTTAGAAACTACACCTCGAGTTAGTGTAACCATCTACAAAGTTAGCGACATCTTACCAACCGCACCGATATACCCAAGTCCTAACTGCCATAATCTAGATGGGATTTACAATAAGGTTGTTTTGGAGAATATGACAGTGGATAAGTGGAAAATGTAATATGTAGCTGGTTTGAAAGAGGGTCAGCACAACTCAAAAATAACTTTTTGTAGATTAGTATATTTTTGTGAGTGTACACATAAAGTTATTGAGTATATATACGTATTTACGTAGTTGGAAAAAAACTAACTTTACTTATATAAGGTGTCTTCAAGAAATATATAAGCCCTTATAATTTTAAGATTTATTCCCCTTCAAAATGAGCTCATTTTCAAGTCATCTACAAACAACAATTTATTTATTTATAACAATGGAGGAGAGGGTTCCTCAACCCCTAACAGGTCATTTTAGCCCTTTCAAAATATTTATATTACATCAGATATATATATATATATATATATATATATATATATATATATATATATATATATAGAGAGAGAGAGAGAGAGAGAGAGAGAGAGATAAATTATATATAGAGATACATTATATATAGAGATACATTATATATATATATATATCAATTAACAAACATGGTGGGCGGGGTGGCCGAGCGGGCTAACGTATGTGCACAGCACCGCCGTTGCCTGGCAACCTGATCTGTGATACAATGGATTTAAAATAGTGACGGGTTCGCGTCCCGGTGCCGGGTGAGTCTTTTAAATCCCCGCTCACAACCTCTGGCCCGGGAAAACCCAGTATAGCCTTAAAGGCTAGTAAGAGAAGGACCCAAAATAAAAAAAAAATTAACAAATATAATTTACAACAATGACCACTCATTATCTAGTCATATAAAAAGTGAGAATTTACCAAAAAAATTTATTTGTAAAAATACATTAATTTTATTTATTTATTTGAAATACATAGCAAGGGAAAGTGTATTACTGTCATGAAAAATTTCGAATTCCAAGTTTTAACGGAATGACTCGATTTGAGGATCTTTGAGTCCAAATAACTAAATCTACAAAAACGTTTTGTCTGTTTGAATATGTGAACAGTCTATAACACAACGAAAAGCTGAACGAATTTATAATTTTTTATTTAATGCAAGTGTATGCCTAGGATGTTACAGTAATTTTTTTTTGCGAGATTGGACTTAATAGGAAGATTTCAAACATTTTTATAATATTCTCAAAAACCGCTTTAGCAATTTTGTTTGAACTCCCTTTATCGATGAATAATTAAATAATAAATAATAATAATAATAAAAAGGCTTAGCAAACCCGAAGGTTCGATGCCGACACCACCAATCGCTTATTACACACCTCCCTCCACCGTTCGCCGTCCAAACCCAGTCCCTTCAGATCGGCTTTAATGCAATCTTCCCACCTTCACTTCGGTCTACCCTTCGGACGCTTACCATTCGGCAGAGCAAATATTAACCTTTTAGGAATTCTCTCGTTACTAAGTCCAACAACTTTACAAGCCCATTTGATTCGCCGCGATGATGAATATATATATATATATATATATATATATATATGTAAGTAAATGCTAAGAGGATGTAAATTGAACATAAATATGTAAAGTAAATTGAGAAATAGCAACACTGAGGCTATAATGAAGGTACAGCCTAGCCTAAGTTACAGCGGGATCCATCAAACCCGAAAGCGATGGATGAATAAAGGCACTTGCTGAATTCAATCGATGAGCTCAAGTAAATAAAATGAGCGCTGAGTTTAGTAACTTGTCCTGTTTTAACATCTAGGATATTTTACTTTCATTTAAAATTGTATAGAAAAACCCATTTCGTTACCAATGGTGGTACATGAAAGTTGTATCATGTAAATAACGCACCAAAATTTTCAATTTTTTGGATCTTCTTCCAAACTACGAATCAGATCCAGATAAGGAACCAAAAAAGTATTAACCACATCTAAGAGATTAAATTATACTATAAAAAAAAAATCAATTACTTATTACACAATAAAACTATATATCATTTAATACGACATAATATGTGAAATATAATTATATTGAATAGAGAGATTTGAAATTCCAGTGAAAAAAAATTCAAATTATACAGAGAATAAATTTAGGATAATGTCACCGATGAAATGTATTGCGGCCTTGTCCACATCCAGTTATAGTACGTGTGTGGTCCACGGAAGCATGTTTAATGCATCAGTGAATTACTAAAGACTTATATATGACCAAGTTCGTTTATATTGGTTAAAAAAATAAACAATTCAAAATAATCGGCTATTCTCAGAATAGAGTAGCCAGGGTAGAGCGATTTTTTAACTACATTTCTCATAGGACGGATAAATTTCTACAATCAAATTTGAGCACTTTGTCCATGGTATAAAAAAGTATTGAATAGCGTATTCTGAAATATATATAATTTACGACTCTATGTTTTTCTTGTTATACCTTCATAAAAATGTGATATTTGGTATTTTTTTAAAATAATGTATTAAACTTAATTCATATTATTGTATATAAATAATCTTAAGACCTGCAAAAAGTGGTGGACCAGATAAACAGTTAATATAAGCAAATATAAAAATAATATATTTGAAAACAATGAAACAAAAGTTAACACATTTTTCCGCCGTATGCATCTACTGGTATTTATAAGAAGCCGTAGTTTCTAATTAAAAATACAATAAGAAGACATAGAAATAAAATTATTGAGTAGCTGAATAAATTCTTATGTAATTTTGAGCTCATGACACGCGGGAAAAACCTCTTAAGATAAACATATTAATAAATATCTGAAGTTTTGTATGATAGCATCTTTAAAGAAAAACTTTAATTAAGTTAATGAAAAAGTAATTTTTGATTTTCATTAAGATATATATTGAATGCATCACATAAGTTATATATAAACTATAAACACAGACTTATATACTCGTACATTGCTCCATCTGTATGGATGAGAAAAAGATATACTGCCTCCCTAATACTAAAGGATTTTTTTTTCAGTTTTGTTTTTTATGCTTAGTAATATTTGTCACTTATCTGACTTCATTTTCCTAAGCAAGGATGTTGTATATCACGAATGAGTAATAAAAAGGCACTAAAAAAACCCTGCAAAGTAGGCCAGTATGGATTTAGAATAGAATAGTACATTTTTTGAATAGAATATTGTCAGAGAATGTAAACTTAAATCATATTATTGTATACTCTATGGATGGAAAAATAATCTTAAATACTGCTAAAACTAGTTTACCAGATAAAAATTTAGATAAGTAAATATAAAAACTCAATATAAATATGCAAAAATAATTGAATGGAACACAATGAAATACAAAAATTAATTTTTTTTCAGGGACAAAGACCCTTACTTTCATAATACAAATACACCGAATTTGATTAAATTAATATTGAACCATTGGTACAGTATTCTTAAACTTATCTCCAACTTTTAGGGCCGAATCGGATGAGCGAATTCTAAAATAAGTTTGCATAGAAAACTATGTTTGGAAAGGCGTTTGCGACAGATTTGGAAGCCACTAAAAGTTTGCTCAAGGTATAGCTTCAAAAAGTTTTTAATTTAACTCTTAAATTTAGGAATGCTTCAGGGCACACCTTGACATCGTCAACAGAGTATCATATCTATTGATAATATTGAAAATTAGTCATCAATAAGTGAGAGGCCAGGACGGAAATTACAAAACATAATATTTATTCCACTTCCTTTCTGTAAAAAACATGAGAAACGGGTTGAAGGAAAAACAGTTGCACAAACACAATTAAATAGAATGGCCGTACAGATGTTAATATCTGTTATGAATACATTATCAAATCACTTAGAAATAATTCAAAAAATAAATAAATAAAGTAAATATTAAAAATTATAATCTATAAGATGTCATATATAACATATATTATATATATATATATATATATATATATAACCCAACAAACTGCTACATGTGTAACATATTTTTATTATGTAACACATGGTATTAAATATAATTAAAAAGATATCGAGCTAATGACATTATTCTGGAGCGTTGATCCCGTTAGAGGTCTCATGAATTTCCATTCCAATTACCGGTTGAGATATTATCGCGGCAGGTATCGAGAGGAAGTCTTGAGCTCTCCTGCCATCGCCCAAACCTGTTGCTCTTGCATGGGCTAGCCAATGAGGTGGACTTATGTGGTATGTTATGAGTGAGTCATCCAAGCACCATGTGGGACGGAGTCTTGTTCTGCCACGACCCTGCCTGTATGGCGACAGTTTTTGACACAAATAAAAGCGAGATCTCGATAATAAAATATATACCTAAAAATAGCCAATAATCATCAGCATATAACACGTTATCTTTACAATTAGCATATTGTCATATTTTTGCTTGATGGTATATCAATGAATATTACGTCTATTCGCTGGTCCCCACTAGCGGATCTAGGGTTTAATTTTTGAGGGAAGCTTCACTCCGAAAACTTTTTTTTCATATGAAAAAAATTAATATATATATACAACGATAATTAATTTGAAACAAAAACGGAAAGAAATTAACTATCTATATGAAATGGTGTTTAAGTGATTCTTGAAGGTCTATTAATTATAATTAAACGAATAATAATACTTTAAGAGATTAACTTTTAATATTTTTTTTCTATAAAACATGATTATAATTTACCATTTTTTTGGGGGGGAGGGGGCTTCAGCCCGTAAGCCCCCCACGTAGATCCGCCTGTGCAGGCCGCATATTAGAGTTCGGTTCTGACAGGTATTATTTCATTTGTTACATCATCCATGAATCGACCCAAGGTTAGGGAGACCCTTCTATGAACTGGGTATTCTTAATTAAATACTTACGAAGAAAACCCTGACAGTTGAGTGTGATCTTAGTCAAAGCGCCTCCATATATTAGTGAGTTGTTGGAGTACAGATTTTTTTATAATAATGGTAATTATTTGTAAACAAATTTAAAACAACAATTAAAAAAATCAACGGATATCAACATATCCAAATTATCATATATTTGACCTATTTTTATTCTTTACTTCTTTTTTATTTTTTAATATTAATAAAGATTCATGAACTAGTCGAGATCAAGATATTATGCATTTCAAAATGGCAAACAATAGCTTATTATTATAATAATAAAAAATTAAGCGAAAGTGAAAATAAGAAAACCTCTAGTCATAGGCAATTGTATGAACTAACATGCCAACGTTTAGCCAAATTTGGGAGTCTTCAGAAAATCTTTACAGCTTATAATAATATTTATATTATTAGATTCAAGCTTTAAATAAAAGTATGTCAGCTCAACATGTGATTGGTAATATAATATGGTGAAGGCACCAGTTATGGACAGGGGATCCAGTGATGATCAGTTTTTGGTTTTGGTTTTTTGGTTCCAGTTTTTTTCTAGATTGAAGAACAATAACCTCTTTTGACAACTGCAAAAAAAAAATTACCAAAAGAAAATTTTATTAACATTATTCTTATCTAATCTTTATAGTTAAATAAAGATTTAAGAATTTTTCTGAGGTAAGTCCATTACTTGTACCGATCCCCTGTCCATTACTAGAACAATTAAATTTCGGGGTGTTATCCATCATTAGTTTGAAAAGGTGTTTTTTTTTTTTTTTTTAATGAAGATTATAGTTGCATAACTGAATATTTTTTTCAATTATAAAGTGCTAAATAAAAAAGGAGACCGTAGAGATTCCAAATGTCCAACGAAGAAATAAACCAAAAAATTCCTTAGCTATGTCCATCACTGGTCATTGCTTACCCTAAACCAATACTGATTAAAATACTTCAAATTTTAAAACATCTGGCGTCATAAAATTAAAAATTAAAAATATGTTTTGAAACCAATTTCCAGTTTTTTAATTTGCTCAATATGTGAAAATAATGTTATTCAAAATAAAAATCATGTTATAGGTATAAGATAAACTACAATTTTTATAATGCCAATTTCTCTAGCACCTTCCTTAAGCAAAGAGAAATTATTTTTTGAGAGGGGAGGGAGAGGAGAGGAGGGCACTTCCATCTTCATTTATTTAAAATTGTCGAATACTTCAGTGATAGTTAATAGAGCTGTGATTCAATTACAAGTTAATTTAAATTAATAAAACCTTAAACAGTTTAACTAGACGAGACAAATTGATTGCTTATCTAAACGGGTAGCGATTCATCAACCTTAATTAATACGAAGCCGATAATTAATGCATAAACCATTCGACAAGATTTCTAAACTGTGAATGATTTTATAAAGAATATGAGGATGCACACATCTTCAGGCCAAGTTAGGCTCATTTTATTTATTAATATCATTATAGGTCATTAAAATGATAAACTTGAAATTTATTATTTAAATTTATGTATATTTTTATCGTGAAATTGTGTGAATAATAATGCTTAAAGTATCCATATTAAAAAAAAAAGTTGTGAAGGGCACGTGGCTCAATTTATCATATCAGTTCCAAAGTGCTTCAGACAGGAAGTCTTGCTGGAAGCCTGCATCTCTAGCCTCCGTATTCCTATAATTGCTTGTATTGTCTTCAAAAATACTACATCCTCTTATCATGTCGTATAATTTTATTTTTAAATTATTTAATATATAATTGTCATTAAACGACGAAACTGAAAAACAAGGACTAAATTTGATTATAAAATTGTGAAGTAAATATTTACAGATGTAACCATATATTTAATGTTGAATAAACGTTAACATAAATTACTATTGTAGATAATTGTATAAAAAAGTGCGTTATTATTTTTTTTTATAAAATCGTATGTTAGGCATGTATGTGTTTTTTTTTTTGTATTTTTTAATTTACTCGTCTTTAAATTATTTTATTTTCTTTATTGTATATGGTTTTTGATTATTATTTGGTTATTTTACTTCTATATATTTTAGATTTTTTTTTTTGTATATATAGTGTGAATGTGGTCTTATCTTCCCATAACCATTGTCCTATAACCAATAAATAAATATATATAATGAGGAATAAAAAAAACAAAAAAAAATTCGTATAATACTTAAACATTTGATTTTTTTTTTTTAATCTCAACTAAGAAATAGGAAAAAAAAACTCATATATATGACTGATAACTAATGTATGCTGATGACCTGACAAAAACATAAATAAACACGATCCCATAACAGATATTAACTTTCCATAACCAAACTGTGTCGATAACCTCATAATATGTCATTGATAAGATTACATTTAACACTATAATAAATGTTAGGATTTTTGTACAATCAACTTCAGAATTAAATAAAATTAATAATTACGCGAATATATATATATACATATATATCCAGGCTGATCAAATAAGATTCCATTAATATTAAAATTTATACGCTATGATGTCTTAACTACTAAATGATGTTAGTACTAAAATATATATTAATCAAAAGTCAAATTTAAAACCGATCTTATTATATGGTTCCCGATTCAATTTTAGTACAGTTGTAATAATCTATGCATATAAATTTTATAAGTGCACAATATTCAATTAAGGACAAAAATCGAATACGAGTATTGTTAAATAATTGACTTATTATCATATCAATCAATAGCAAATTGGGCTTGTGATGAATAAATATTCAAATATTAGCATAACCGAGTAGTTTAAATAAGTAAATTTTAATTATTTCTTTTTTACGTTGCAGATATAATAGAAATAATATAAAATAAAATATAAGATGAAAATATTATTCAGGCTAAATTATTTTAAATAGCCCATCATTTGAAATACCAATTGAATATAAATAATATTCACATTATTTGGCGGAATATCTTCTTAAATTATTTTATAATGAGCTGGTAGCAGGACTTACAAAATGTAATTTAAAACATTAATTTAATTATATGTTAAAATTACTAAATGTCACTGTGTTTCATGTGTGTATATTCTATGTAAAGACCTATCTTTAATGTAAGGACAATTAATAAGGTATAAAACCATATAATTTACTTAAAAATTCAACAGCTTTCATGATTAGAAGTACAAGATGTAAGGATTGATATATTATAAGATTTGTCGTATAATTGTAGTAATTACAAAAATAATATTGTATATTATCGTTAGAATTGTTTACCTTACTGATAAGAAGTAATTTAATTCACATAAATCATTGAAGATTTATGTAACGTTAAGAAACGTAGATATACAATCGAAATCATTTTGGTAGGATATTATGAACTCCATTGCAATATATTAAACTCTTAAATTATACCTTCTAGGCGATATATAAAATTATTTATTAAAACAATAAATTGTACAAAATTAATTAATCCAAATTTCTTAAAATTTATAAGTTGTGCATTATTGAAGACGATTACCCGAAAAACAATAACTTAAAAAATAATTTTGGACAGATTTATTCCAACACCAAATAAAAATAAATATTTGTGGATAGCAATCAAAGCAAACATTTTTGACAATCACTTTTATAGCATCACTTTCTGCTAAATAAATATTCAATTATGCTCTTGTTTGTGGGAAATTATGTAAATATGCACATATTTAAAATAAAACATTTTATACTGTTTCATATTTAATATTATGTCATATCATAATAATGAGTTGCTTTCAAAAACGCAATATTAACACAACATAGTGAAAGCCGTTTTTAGGTTAAAGTAAAACAAAATAAATATATTATACCATTTACAACAAATATTATGATTTAGTATTAATAATAAAATTTTTGAGAACTGTTATCATCCAGTTTACTATTATTATTATTTTCCAAGTATAGAATATTTTTAAATAAGAAAACAAATTATATAACTATTTCCTGATAAAAATATTTTGCATAAATATAGTAACAATTTACTATTTATTAATAAAAATAGTGACATCAGTATATTGAAACCGGTAATAATCAGCGCAAGGACTGAGACGGCAGTTTTCGTTGCGAGACACGCAAATGCATTAACATTCTTTCGCGCTTTTAGAACGAATCACTGTTTTAGTGATATCTCTTACACTATATTGGAATTGACGAACTATAAAAATATATGGTATTAAGTGTTAGGATGAATTTAACATAACTTCGCTTTGAAGTAACGCACTTAAGGGATAATTCCTAAATTGGTCTACAAATGAACCATATATACAAGACACAGACCTTGTTCTTCTTGTGGATGTAGCTCTTCTTGAACTTCCTCCACCACTTTCCCCTGAAAAGGACGGAGGGAAGAGACTTGAGGTAGTCCAACATGGCGCACAGACGGCACGACAATCCTGAAAGCCTGCCGGCAGGCTACTGACTGGAGTGGGAGTTGTTGCATGGGTCCAGCTTCTGATAGACCGGATGACGTAGCGCCTCGATGGCTCCATTAGCTCCTCCTCGACTCGATATTTAAAATAAGAACTCGATGGCTGGGTATCGATTGCGGTACAAGACGAGAACATTGTCTCGGTGCCCCCGCGTCATTGCACGAACGGACAATGGATGTCGTAGGTTGATCACGTGCCAAGGAATCTTGTGCCAGCGAAGGCTATCCCCAAGGAGTGGTCTATCTTAATTTTACGAGATGTTTACATAAAATAAAAATTTACATTTGTCTATTACAAGATTAAATAAATCCATGGGAGAGAGAAGAGTTTCAGGCTGAAGCTCCACCCAAAACAAAAACAGAATAATCATTATCTTTTCATTGGACCATATATTTTTTTAAGAGTGATTGCAGCCATTAGAAGTTAACAAAAATAAATCACATTTATTTTATTTGAGTAGAAATTTCATGTCTTCATCAGGTCTAAGCTAAGACCAGATAATAAATAATTAGATAGAGATTAGTAAAAAATAATTAGAATAATATATGTAGAAAAGTAACGATAACAAAGAGATACATTAAACAATGATAAAATGACGATAACAACTTAGGCAGTTATAAAATAATGACATCGAAGTTAAGAAATTAAAGTGGTATTTTCGTAACAGTAAGTATTTGTGATCTCGACCTTCTTAAGTTTAATGGTGTATTGAATTGAGCCGAGGGTATTATTCTGAACTCCCTTGGGATCATTCATCATCACATATATGGTAATTAGGGGTTGATTATCGTTATTTATTTATTTATTAAATTTTAAATTATTTAAGTGACCATATCTTTTTGTCTATGTTCATAGGACTATGTTACTTGCTATCACTAGCGGATCCAGGATTTAATTTTGGAGGGGGGAGGGGCTTCAGCCCGAAAGTTTTTTTTTTCTCATTAAAATAATGATAATTACTTTGGAAAAAAAGAAAGAAACTAACTACGTGTATGAAATGGTGTTTAAGTGATCCTAAAGCCTTTTAAATGTAATTTAACGAACAATATACTTTGGTACTTTATAAGAGAACTGGTAATTTAGCTTTGGAAAAAAAGAAAGAAACTAACTACGTGTATGAAATGGTGTTTAAGTGATCCCTAAAGTCCTTTTAAATGTAATTTAACGAACAATAATACTTTAAGAGATACTTTTTTTATATTTTTTTCGATAAGACATGGTCACTTTTACCATTTTTGGGGAAGGGCTTCAGCCCAAACCCCCCCCCCCCCGTAGATCCGCCCGTGCTTGCTATGTGTGCGTTCTAATTTTCCGGTGTTAAAACTTTGGCGTTGGAATACTACATATATTTTTTTTAGCCCTATAAATTTTAGAAATTGTCTTGTATCGGTTTCACCGAAATATGTATATATAATATATTGTATAATTGTAATTGTATGTATTAGTATATTATAGTATTGTTATTGTTTGTGCTGTATAATATGAAAAAGAATTTGTATATAAATTGTATGTCCGAAAAAAAAAGGATTGATGAGTATGCTGTGTATCGAGCAACCCTATTTATTAGGGCAGCACTGCATTAAATAAAGTATTTCTCTCTCTTGTGACTCTTGATTGGAGTTCAATTTTTTACTTTTTATAAACAAATGTATTTGAATTAAAAAAAAAAACTAAACAACCATACAGTAACTTAAAAAGTTTTGTTATCACTGGTTTCAGTAAAAATTATAAAAATCCCGATAAGAACATTATCCCTTTTATTATTTATAGATGGTAGACTGTATGGTAAATCAAAATATGAACCAGGTAGCAATATAAAATAACATAAAACAGCGAAAACAATAAATGGCGACATTTCAATCTACATTAAACTATTTCATCAGTGCTGAAATAAGTAGAAGTAGAGTTTCCTTATATTTTTTCTTTCCTATCATTTGCGCAGTCATTTAAAAATAAAAAAATAATTGGAGCAAAGGTAAACATACCTAAGCTCTTTGTAGAAAAAAAAAAGAAAAATATTTATATAATTTTTATATTATAATTTTTTTTTGTTGGTTAAATTTGTTTTTACAAAAATCAAATAATACCAGTTAAAGGACATCGACGACTAAAATAAATAAAAATACAAACACAGCTTATAAATAAATAACAAAACATAACGAAAAAAATTAGTTAAACAACATAATAATAAAAGAATAATTTAAACACAAGATAAAGATGTGTTATAGAAATAAGCATACGGCTCAAAAAGAGACATAGTTATTACGCTATAAATAGAAAAAATCCAAAATATAAAGCCACGAGTTTCTCACATACAGGTGAGCAGTTAATCAGCCAATCTTACTCCAGGAATCCACCATCAAAACAGAAAAAGCTAGATCACATATACGCAGAAAATTAAAAAAGAAAGGAAAGAAAAACGGGAAAAAAAAGTATGCTATGGATATCTCACTAAGCCATCCAAATACATATTGAAGGAAAATGGAAGGATTCAGAAATACATCATAGGAAGGTTATAAGAAACAACTGATAAGCAAGAACAAAAATAAAAACGCATACTTAAAATATAACAACACAAAAATCTGTAAATTAAATTAGATAAAAAAAGAAGAACAAATTGTTAAATTAATTTTTTTTAAAAGTGGAAAGAGTACAGAACATCCATATCCAATAAAACTCGGTGGATACACAGCTGCTCCACAAATTATATTACTATAATAATTATATTACTATAAGCTCATATAAGATAAATATTTGTAATTAATGAAGAGAAGAAAAGTTGGGGTGGTCAGTCAAAAAGGAAGGCAAAAATAAATGATAATATTTATTTTTACATATGCCGACGTTTCGACCTGAAATTCAGGCCTTCATCAGGGCTAAGAAAATAACCAGATAACAAGATTTAATCAGATTTAATTATTTGTAATTAAATTTCAGTCAGAATAAAATATTTCTTAACACATATTCGCAAATATATAAAAAATTGTTTTTTGAAATTAAAAAAAAAGTAAGTAAAGTCGATATTTTTTGTTTGTTTTAAAATCGCCGCGAATGAAATGGGTGATTACGAATGAAGTTGTCGAGTTAGATAATGAATCATCATTGATCGGTTGACATTAAACCGACGATGAATTAGTTTATTACCATACCATTACTCATTGCAATGGATTCAAGCCAAACCAATAAAACTAATGATAAGGTCGAATGGACAGCTCATATCGCTAAAATCCAGTAAAGCAGAAAATTTATTGCAGAACCCGACAACTTTTAATTGTTTAAATTTCGCTCATAGTTGTGGAAAGTTTAGGATTAGTTTAAAACTTATGCAGCATAGATTTTATTAAATTCAATTAAAAAAGACACTGAGATTGTTAATATACTGTATAGAGAAACGATTATTGTGCACAGAATGCTGTTATTTTTATATTTATAAAAGTTTAACACCAAGGCCAGTAAGAATTACCGTTGAAAATTGTGATACATGTGGCACATATTGATATCCATCATTAAAATAACGGAAATTGGAAGATAAACAGAATTGCTGATAAATGCTCCGCCAGAGAGATAAGAGATGAAATGGAGTATCAAAGAGAAACCAGAGACAGAAGAGTCTTAGTCATACTGCGTTAGTCACTTCACAATAACATGAATAAGACAACGTCGATGTTGAAATTTTTAAAATAAACTCAATAAAATTATAGCTATAATTGATAAGAAGAGATAGATAAGGACCGGATGATACATTTCAGTCACAGGTTTGATTCCTGTTATATTTCAGATTTTTTTTTTCCCCATAGAAGTCGAGCAACTGTGCTCAATTAGCCATAGTAGCGTATAAAGGAATAGAAAAACAAAACAAAAAAAATTATTCTAGAACAAAGTTTCTTAATAATAGCAATAGTGTACAGGCAAATAAATATTAAATCTGACCATAAGGCCTATTACGACACATTAATAACTAAAAACATACTTGTCGAATATGTATTAAAAACAATAAATCAATAAAACAGAAAAGGAAAGTCAAATTAATTTTATAATGTATAAATCTTTGCAATAAAAAAAAAAAATTTAAATCAGTTATATAAAAACAAAATTAAGGAAATACATTTAACCACATGTCATAAAATAAAATACAGTAATCTATAATCTAGAAAGATGTAGAATGAAAATAATGTGGTGTAGAGTGTATTCAAGCTTAGAAAGAAAGAAACATACTAAAAAAAAAACATTTATCGTATTAAAAAACAATAAATAAATCTAAAAGGATATATAAAGAAAAATAAAACCGTGTTACATAATACATAATTATCCAGCGTGAATTGTGAAGAAGAATTGAAATGGGGGGGCGAAGGAGAGATTTGAATGTGATTTAATAGATAATTAGTGGACAAGGATATGGCATTACGGATTTTAAGATGGCTGTAATTCGAAAAAGTCGTAGAGAGGCAATAAAGGAGTTTTGAAATGAGGCAGATCTGTAGAAAGGATCGCAAAGGTCAGAAGTACAAGAACTTTTTTGAAGGAGTAGATAGAGTACTTGAATTGGAGATTTTAGCTATAGGAAAGGTGATTTTGGATTATTTCTCATCCGACGTTATAGTATAATATAGTCTGGATTTGAATGAATACAAAAATGTTACACTGGTATAATCAATTTAAAAAAAATATGTTTCATATATAATAATAAATTTAATTATTTAGCCTCTACTATAAAATTGTATGTTTTACAGTTACAGTCATTGTTCCATCCGATGAACGATGTTCGCACAGTAAAAAAAGTGAATTTTCGTATTTTCCTGTTCAAATAAATAATTTAATTAATATTTCCTGGACTATTTTAAATTAATTATAATGGGTTGAACTGTAATTGAAATTTAACTCTTATCGATTTATACAGGATGTCCCTTAGGTAGAAGGAAATATTTAAAAAGAAAGGAGATGGTCCGGGGTGGCGTTCATAAATAGGCTAAATAGTGGTAAAACTATTTTATTAAAAGCCAAAGTTTCGACC